CCTCTGCACTTGCTTCACTGGGACACTGGGTATTATTAGTTGGTCCGCTATAATAGAAACCACATGCATCTCATGTCATGATTCTTTACATTTCATCATGTTCTTTGTATCACATTAGTTATGTATCTCATGTCATGTTCTCATGCATAGAAAGACTCATGTTATGATTATTAAATGACTCACAAATTTACAACTCTGTATAACATGTTTGTCAACTATTAATGTTTTGATTTTGTCAACTATCACATGCATAATTCTAGATATGGTGCCTTATCGCATAAATTTCATGAGGCAAACATTTGTGTTTCTCACACATATTATATCTATAAACCAAATGATTTTGCTGCAACTCCTCACAACAATTATTATTTCTTAGTTATAGTAGTATTCTGTTACTAATGAATGGTTCCTTTAATTTCACAAATTATTTATCAGCCAAATTGAAAAATTTTCCACTTCACAAAGATGGATCCTTCTCATCTTTTATTAGTGGGATTGAGTCCTCCCAAACCACAGCTCATCATATTCAAACCATGTTGCGACAGAAAAAAGACTGAGAAACAATTGGATGTTGCTGCAAGCCTGCAGCTCCTGCCTCCTGACAACAAACTCAGGAGAATATGCCCTTTATGTGAATTATCTACTTTGTTTCATGAGTGTTGTTTTTGTTCAGGGTAAATAAAATTTATTAGTTAAAATTTTAAAAAATGTATATGTTTTGTCAAGTTAAATTTTTGTAATGCATCAAAATATTAGCCATTTGTTTGAGTGTTAGTAATATTGTAACTCTTTTATCAGTAAAAATCCAAAAATTTTGAAATGTTGACCACCACATGTATTTTTCGAGTATGTTGACTAACAAATTGCAAACACAAAGTTAACATTTACCTAATATTTTGTATTTTGAAATTTTTTATTAATAATTTGAAAAATCATTAAAAATGATTTGAAAAGTTTAAAAAATTTGACAAATAAATTATAGTTGCCCTTTTATTTAGGATCATAGAATTATTTACTGAATTATCTACTCAAACCAAGGCTCACAAGGGCTTTCAAGGGGTTGGGGTAAAGGTCGGATCAGATTAAAAGACTGGGTAGTAAAGTGAAAGAGTTTTCGAAGTTTGCCTAATTTTATAGACCCATCTTTACATTTTGGATTTGGGCTATTGTTTTGTAGAATTAAAAGATTCATGGGTAAAACAATACAAATAATTATTTATCTCTATCAGAGATCAATCATTTTCCTTCATACTTGAGGTTGATTACGCATGTATCATGCGAAACAACTACAATTTTCAACTATATAGTTTACTTAAATTGCTCGCCTTAGTTATAGATAGTCAATTGACTCTTAGTTGTATCCTATTTGAATGTTATATTATTTTCTTCTCTTTCAGCTATATTGTGGCACATTATGCATAGTCTGACAACTTGGCAAGATGTTTTCCAATAGAGAATTGTACAAATCATATATTGCATCCATCTCTAATATATATCATATCTATAACTATACAATTATTCCACCTAAACTCATTGGGTCAACAATGTTTAGCTAGAAGTTACCAAAACAAACGAATTGTTTTCAATTGGATTTATATTTCAACGTTTACCAAATGATCAATTATGCATAGATTACCCGCCCAACGGGACGGGCCCAGTGCTAGTATTATTAAATATAAATACCATCCTGCAATCACTTATGGATTACCAGACCAGCAATCTTCTCAAGTTTTTTCCAAGGCAATACATACATACATACACAAGATCACTTCTCTCCAAATTAGGCTATGAGTTCAACAAGCAAAGCTTGGACGGTGGCAGCAAGCATTGGAGCAGTGGAGGCGCTGAAAGACCAACTGGGCTTCTGCAGATGGAACTACATCCTCCGATCCGCTCATCACTACGCCAAGTCCACAGCGGCGGATCTAGAACACAGAAGTGCACTGGGCCGCATTTTATTAGAAAATTAGAATAGTAAAAAAAAATATAATGATTATAATTTTTTTACAATGTAAATTGTACACGACGGTATTTTAATTTAGCGAATGCATTAATAATGGAGTCCACATCCATACCAATAATATATACTGTTTCACATAAAATACTTGAGCAATCGACTAGAAATCCATCGCTCATTTTGTTGCGCAAATCAATTTTCACATGTTTCATTGTTGAAAAGGTTCTATTCGTATTAACTGTTAATACGAGCAGCATCAACACTAGACAAATCAATCTACTAATCTATTTGCATTGTGTTTCCATCCCTATATCCACTTACTGCTCTAGTAAATTTTCCAAGGTTTCCAAGGTTCTATTCGATTTTAGGTTTCATTGCTTTTTTAGACGAATAACCTTTGGGGTTAGAATTTATAAGCTAAATTTAGAGTAGTGATTTTGAATATGTTCATCTGAATTAATTTTCTAATTATACCCAATCTTATTTTAAAATAACAATGACCCGAATATCTAAAATCCAAAAATTCATAAGGCCTATACTAACTATGAATCCAGAGGAGGGCTGGGCCGGGGCCCGGGGTGGCCACCCCCTGTATCCGCCGCTGCAAGTCCAACGTCAGATCCATCTCTTCTCAGGCCAAGACCCTGCCTCCTAATTCCTCTGCCGCCTCTGCCATGACTTCTGGCGAGTCGTTGAAGCAGGCTCAAAATTCTGAAGAGTCTCTTAGGAAAGTCATGTACTTGAGCTGTTGGGGTCCTTACTCATGAGCAATTGCTTCTCTCAACATTTTATATAAGATTGTTCTCTAGTGTATATTTGTTTTCGGAAAATTAGACCCTGTAGTCTGTACCCTGGCAATCAAGTTTCAGTTGCCTGTGACAAAAAAGGTCTAAAGATTGGAACGTGCTCTTTCATCTTTGATCTTGTCCGTGTTTCCTGATCTCAATTATGCACCATTTTAATCACCAACACTTCAAATAGAGAATGTTGGGGGACAAAGAACAAATGTAACTCTCCATGTTAAATCGAACTAAATGGAAGACTAAGATTTTACGTGGTTCTTCCTCACACTACGTGAGGCTTACATCCACGGGAAGTGATTCTTTCTTATTGATTGATTGTCCGGCTGGTTACAGCCTTACACTTATTTATACAACCCTTTTCATCTAAATTCTCTAGGGTTTGACACAAAGGACGTCGAGTACAAGTGGGAGACGGACTCGACGTGGGCAGCAAGGCTGCATGGGCTACATGAGTGGGCTCTCGGCCCATTACTCCCCCGCAAACTGGAGCGTGAAGGTCTCGAACGTTCAGTTTGGAGAGAAGAAAATGAAAACGATCACTTCCAAGCCCTTTGGTGAACATATCCGCAAGCTGCAGATCGGTATGAACCTTGACCGGGGAAATGTGGCCGGACTGCACCCGCTCGCGAATAAAGTAACAATCCATCTCGACATGCTTGGTGCGTTCATGGAAGACTGGATTATTAGCGATATGAAGTGCTGCTTGATTGTCACAATGAAGCACTGTTGGAGAAGTTTGAGGTACGCCAAGCTCCTGGAGCAACCAACGGAGCCAGAGTATTTCACTAACTGTGCTGGCCATGGCGCGATATTCGGCTTCGGCAGAAGATCGGGCAACAACCTTTTGCTTCTTTGTACGCCAAGAAATGGGTGCACCGCCCAGGCTGATGAAGTATCCGGTAGTCGAGCGACGGGTGCTCTTACAGCCACCCCAATCTGCATCACAATATGCCGTGAGGCGAAGGGGGTTGTCTTTTGGGAAGAACAAACCTTGCCCTGGAGACGTCTTCAAATATCTGAGGACACGGAAAGCTGCATCAAGGTGCGACTGACAAGGGGCATGAACGAACTGGCTGAGTATGTTGACAGCATAAGTGATGTCTGGGCGAGTGACGGTTAAGTAAAGCAAGCGGCCCACCAATCGCCGATATGGAGATGGATCAGACAGAACAGTATCATCCGGGCGCGTGAGCTGGTGATTCTGCTCAATGGGAAACGGGCTGGGTCGGGACCCTTCGACCCCTGCATCTTCAAGAATATCCAGGGCAAATTTCCGCTGGTTGAGAACAATTCCATCAGCAGTGCGAGCAACTTCAATGCCCAAGAAATAACGCAACGTACCAAGGTCCTTGATGCTGAAACGCTGATCAAGGAAGGTCTTGACACGTGAGATGAACGGCAAGTCGTTGCCAGCTAGTATGACATCGTCCACATAAATCAAGGCCGTCACAAAGATGCTCCCCCGTTGGTAGATAAACAGAGCCGCATCTGCCGGGGAGGATCGAAAACCAAACTCACACAAGGCAGTGGTGAACTTTTGGTACCACTGGCGAGAGGCTTGACGAAGACCATACAACGACTTATGCAGCCGACAAACTCGTGTGTCACCAGGCTTACGAAAACCAGGGGGTATCTCCATGTATATCTCTTCATCCAGATCACCATGAAGAAATGCGTTGTTGACATCAAGCTGATGGATGTGCCATCCTTTACTGACAGCCACCGCGAGAAGGCAACGTATAGTTACCAGTTTGGCAACTGGTGCAAAAGTATCATGGAAGTCCAAGCCTTCAATCTGGGTATACCCCTTTGCGACGAGCCTGGCTTTAAAGCGTTCAATTGTACCATCCGGATAAAACTTGATCTTGTACACCCATTTAGCTGCTATAGTGCACTTTCCAGGGGGCAAAAACACTAGGGTCCATGTCCCATTAGCCTCCAGTGCACGAACTTCGCGTGTCATGGCGTCCCGCCAGACCTTTTCTCGGACCGCCTCATGAAAGAAGCGTGGTTCATCATAGCGAGTTTGTGCTGCAAGGAAAGCACGAAAAACAGGTTTAAACTTAGAGTAATCAACGTATGCAGCAAGGGGGTACATAGCAGAATTAGTGGTGCTTTCCTGTGATGTATTGGTGTGAAAATCAGTGATGTAATTCTCCAAGTGTTTGGGCCGAAAGCGCTGGCGATCACTCTTCCGTGTGGGAGGGACGGCTGAGCAGGCTCATGAGTAACGGCTTCAGATGCCGAAGATGGGCCAGAAGCCGGCCCAGGGGAAGACGGCCCAGCAGTGGATGAGACCGATCGGGGAGAAGCATCTGGGCTCGACGGGCCGCTGGGTGAGGCCGGACTGGTGGGCTCGTTGGTGTGGCCCGCTGCTGGGGGCGAAGAATCAAGCGGGGAATCATCCGCTGCATCGGCTGAGGGCGAGACAATCGGTCGAGGTATCCAGTGAAGGTCTCGGCTCATGGCGTCTTGCATGGGAAATGAAGTCTCATGAAACTGAACGTCCCGAGAGGTAAGCAAACGACGAGTGACCAGGTCATAAATACGATATCCCTTCTTGCTGGCAGCGTAGCCTAAAAACAGACCAGCCCGGCCTCTCTCGGCGAACTTATCAAGGTGTGAATGAGTGTCCTTGAAGTAGACCAAACAGCCGAATACACGAAGGTGATGGTAAGTGGCCTGCTTCCCGAAAAGGACCTCGAAAGGTGTCTTGCCCGTTGCTCTTGTCGGAAGGCGATTTATGAGGTAAACAGCGGTGAGGATGCACTCACCCCAAAAACGAACTGGGAGGCTAGCTTGGAAACGTAAGGCCCGAGCTGTGTCCAATATGTGGCGATGCTTTCTCTCAACCACGCCATTTTGCTGTGGCGTGTCAGTGCACGAGGTCTGGAGAAGAATGCCTTGCTCTGCATAGTATGTCTTGAGACCTGCAGTCTGAAACTCGTGCCCATTGTCAGCTTGGATCCGTTTGACGGACCGCCCAAACTGATTCTTGACCATGTTACAAAAGAGAAGTAAATACCGCTCAACTTCAGATTTGTAACGCAAAAGATAAATCCAAACACCCCGAGAGAAATCATCCACAATGGTTAAAAAATAATGTGCACCACTTAAGGATGCAGTCTGATAGCCACCCCATATATCGACGTGTATGAGGTCAAAAATAGAAGTAGTCTTAATCATACTGGACAAAAATGGCTCACGAGTTTGCTTTGCCCGAAAACAAGAATGACAAGGGCCAATATCCGAAGATGAACTAAAAGACAGTATCCGACTGATATGTAAAAGTTTATCTGGGGAGGGATGCCCAAGACGAGCATGCCAAATAACTCCTGACACTGAACTGCGTCGCTGTACTGCGCAAGCCTGCGACCGACCCTGTCCAAACAAGCGCAAATAGTACAAGCCATCTCGAAGCTCACCTTTCCCAATCAATTTCTTCGAGCGTAAGTCCTGGATGACGCAAAAATTGTCAAGAAATATCAAGGCCATATGATTATCTTTAGTCAATCGGCTTACCGAAACAAGATTACACCGGAACTCTGGAACATGTAACACACGGCCCAAAGTGAATCCAGGTTGCAGCTCAACTGACCCAATATGTTTCACAGGTATACTATCACCATTGGGTATTCGAACTGGCAGACCATTGACAGGAATTTCCTTGCTTGATAATAAAGATTCATCCATAGTAATATGCTCGTTGCAACCAGAATCTAATAACCATTCTGATTCATAAGAAATTATACCTGCCATGTGAGCTGCTGGGTCTTCATTCGTCCTGCCGGTTGCTCCTCCAAAGAACTGTTTCAGCTGCTCCAACTGGGCCTTAGTAAAGCCAGCGACAGGGCTCTGCTCAGAATCAACTTGAGATGCCTTCGGTTCACGATTTCCCTCTCGACTGGAACCATCATTCTGCCGTGGATTGCGACGTTGTTGAGGCCGTTCACCCTGCTGGTCGCGTTGAGGGTATCCGACGAGTTGGTAGCATGATTCGCGAAGATGGCCGGTGCGTCGGCAGTGAGTACAGCGAATTTTTGGTCGCTGCTCCCCCGTACTTCGATCGCTACCGCGATCACCTTTATCAGCGTCTCCCTTCGCAATGAAAGCCGCCGCCTCGGGCTGGACCTTGCGGTTCTGGGAGATATTCTTTTGCTGCTCCTCATTAAGCACCATGTGAAAAGCTTCAGCTAACAATGGGGTGGGCTTGGTCGCCAAGATTTGGGTGCGCACTGCTCCAAAAGCCCCATCAAGACCCATAAGAAAGTCAAATAGTCTCGCACTCTCTTGCTGCTCCCTCACCTGCCGAGTGACGTCGCATGTGCAATTGCCACAGGTGCAACGCGGCAATGGCGATATGGCGGATGCTTCTTCCCAAAGACTGCGGAGATGTGTATAGAAGTTCGACATCGTTTGTTTTTCTTGCTGCAGCAAACTGATCATTCGGCGCAGCTCATACGCTCGAGATGCACTGCCTTGGCCGAATCGCTGAAGCAGATCAGTCCATTTCTCAGTTGCGTGCTCAGCAAATCGGATACTACTCCGAATTTCCTTATCCATGGAGGTTTTTAACCACCCTTTGACCATGGCATCGCAGCGAATCCAAGCGTTCTTCTCTAGAGGAGTGTCGGGTTTGGGGAGAGTTTCATCAACAAACCCGTACTTGTTCTTTGCGATGAGGGCGTCCTTCATATCGAGAGCCCACTCACCATAGTTGGTTGACGTGAGAAGATCACCAACCAGCATGTTTCCCGGGCCATCCGAGTTTGATAATTGATAAACCGAAGGAAGAGCATCTTCGGGTTTGACAGAGGCACCGCCGGTCTGAGGGTCTTTATCCTTACTCATGATCGGACGTGGCGCGGAAGACCGGAGCCTAGAGCTCTGATACCATGTTAAATCGAACTAAATGGAAGACTAAGATTTTACGTGGTTCTTCCTCACACTACGTGAGGCTTACATCCACGAGAAGTGATTCTTTCTTATTGATTGATTGTCCGGCTGGTTACAGCCTTACACTTATTTATACAACCCTTTTCATCTAAATTCTCTAGGGTTTGACACAAAGGACGTCGAGTACAAGTGGGAGACGGACTCGACGTGGGCAGCAAGGCTGCATGGGCTACATGAGTGGGCTCTCGGCCCATTACTCCATGACTTGTTATTTTATAGCAATGAACCTTTGTCTTTCACTTCCCTGTGTAAGATGAGTCACAGATGAAGTCCTCTCTGCAATTGAACGAACAACAATAAGGCCCTTTATAAGATATGCTAATTGGTTCAAGTGTAAGGACCACAATTTCTAAAGTACATGACCGTTCTAAGCTACTCCTCTCCTTCCTTGGTTTTGTGTTGTCCAATTCCTCCAAGTCGCTGGCTTGATTCTGCAGCAGGAGACACACAAGGAAGAGAAGAAGTCGGCTTCTGTTTGGGCTTGGATTGATGATGATGTGCCGCCATCATCTTGTTTTTTGGTTTGGTGATGCAGTGCACTGCTCCGATGCTGGTTGTCGCATTTGAAATCATCTCTTTTCTTTGATACGCTGCTAATTAACGAATCAAGCAGAAGGCAACTGAAAAAGGCTGAATATATGTGCTCTTCCTTTGTGGGTTAATTGGTGGAGTGTTGTTTTGGATAATGGATATGAAGGCTAAGTAGCAGAGTGGGAGTTTTGTTTGGAAGCATGACCAATTATGGGCCAGTGGTATTTTCACGAATCTTTGGCCCGGTATGTGGTTCCAAGGAAGGTGAAAGATGCATGGAACTATCGTCTGCGCGCGGGTGAAGTGTATATGTCACTCTCAGCCTTCTGTTTTTTGTTTTTTTGTTCCTTTCTCGAGGATCGGATAAAAAGTTGAGTTGCTGGATGCATATGATGAACGGTTACTCACAATACAAGGGTTTGGCTTGTAATAACTTACAAGCGAAAAAAGAAGTTGGTGTTTATAAACCTTTGATTTATTAATTGGATACGGAACTAATGTCGAACTTATATATATATATATATATATATATATATATATATATATATATAAACATAGAAAACCTAATACGTAGTCTACACTACCCGAAATCCGTATCCTACTCGAATACAGTAACCCTCTTAATACCCTAGACTTCTCGGCCATACAACTAATAAGACTCTAACTAAGCTACTCAACGGGAACGGATCAGGTCAGTAACCTTATGGTGAGTAACCATGAGTAACCAGCCCACATCAGCATGACATCAACATCCCTCTCACTCCTGGAAAGCCTTTAATTTTCCCCTTCTTAATCTTTGACGGACGATTTCTCACTCGTTTTAAGTCGAATTTTTTTTTTGCATAGTTAGAACAGATTAATTGTGCTCTTTAAAATGATATCCGCTTTGATATATTTTTCGAACAAAAAAAATTGAGTCATTTTTTACCAGTCTATACCATATGGTATTGACTGATATTGAAATAAGAACATACCTATGGTTTGAAAAACGTACCATGGTGGTATGAACAAACCAAGACTGTAGGATGGTTGAATACATGATAGTAGAAGTATATTAACTGTCATTTACGACTTTTATCATTGTGTACCACAAGATACCACCCCGTACCAGGGTGGTATTGTATGATATTGAAAAGCGTACCATGGTGGTATGAACAAACCAAGACTGTAGGATGGTTGAATACATGATAGTAGAAGTATATTAACTGTCATTTACGACTTTTATCATTGTGTACCACAAGATACCACCCTGTACCAGGGTGGTATTGTATGGTATTGTGTGGTATTTTTTGGTCATGTAATTTTTTCACCCATAAATTTGTAGATCCAATAGATCATGATGAACTCGTCCCTTCTGTGCAAATGTTTTCAAAAACGAATTAAAAACGAAGAAAATACCATATGGTATGCAGTTGGTACCAAGAGGCCAGAATTTTTTTTCTCAAAAAATATTGATAATTGTTCTCATTTGGTAGAGCACGATGAACTCGTTCCATTTGTGCAAAAAAATTAAAATCCTAGTTAAAACGAAAAAGATATGAGCCGATTAAGAAAGTAAGGGAAAATAAAAATGGTCTTTAATCCTCCATCTTTAGATCTGGATTTTCTAAATAAATGGTCCATATTTGGTTATTGATGGATGCATAACCCATGGTTATGCACCCTATCTTGAGCCCTACTCAACCAAACCGTTCATGCACTAACCCACGTAGCCCATACTAATGCTAACCCATAATTAATCAAACACATAGACTACTAATCTAACTAAACCCAAATCCAAAATAACCTCATCAAACCTTCCCCTCAAAAAACCTTGGTCCCCAAGGTTCGGTCCATGTTGAGACGCGGAGGTCGATGACGATGACAACAATAGCTCTTGCGATGGCCAAACTTGAGTCGCTTCCGGAACTTCCAGCTCGTGCTCCGTCCTCTAGTCTTCTTCCTCCTACTCACTGGAACTCCCGGCTCGGTCGCTTGAGCATCGACATGCACAAAAATCCCTCCGCTAACATATCTAGAACGTGGACCAAATAGGAAGAGGTTTGAGGGACCCCCTCCACGCACCACATTTTGGTGGCCCCGGGGTACCAAGTCGGCGGAGCGGCAAGGTTCTAACTTGATGAGATTCGGAAAACTAAGTATGGAGACCAAGCCGGTAAGGCTGGCTTAGTAGTAGGGGCCGACATGACTGGCTTGGTGGCAGGGGATATCAAGCCGAAGAGACAACAAAAGTACGAGCATGACAATAGCAACACAACTAAGTGTGGAGTCTTGGGGGATGCCAAGGGTGTGGTCAAGACTTCATCATGGAGGCAAGGTTACAAGCTTCAGCCTCATCCAGTCAAGACAAGGCAACAAGACTGAACACCAACCTTATGTGGCTTCGAGGCCATCAAGTACCTACCATTCAACAAGGCGGGGCAAGTGGACCCAAGGTGAGAGGATTCAACGCCAAAGCTGAGACAAGCCGACAAGGGGTCACTAAGGCAATTGGAGCAACAGACCGTCTGGCAGTTACCAAGCGTGTTATACCTAGTGGCTATAAACTGGAGAAACGAAGAAGAAGCAAGGGTTTCACAACAAAGCATTTGACGCACAATGTCAAAATTTATCCTATCTCTACAAATTAGTCATACCCTTTAGTTTCCAGAGCTCTCACTGAACCTCCATAGGAGTATGGGAAATTTGACGTAGCTTGTTCCCAAAAAAATCATAAAAAAAAACATCAAACACTCTCGTTCGAACATTGTTCGTAGAGGAGTGAACCGTGTTGATTGAATTCAAACACCAGATTTTCCTCACCGGAAAACACTACAATTAAATTATGTCATTGACTTCTCTACTACAACATCCAATACGATTTTATCATCTTTGGTTCAATCCTATAGCTGCAGTCTTTAGTTTGCTATATAGACGATCAATGCAGTCAAAAACGCGATTTTACCAAGAAGCGGAAAAGAGATAAAATCCTAGAATCAAAACATATACTATGTAAAATAACAAAAAAAAACTGTTACGACATATACTATGTAAAATATGTGTGCACAAAATTTAGATAAGTAATAAATACATGCAATTCATGTCTAAAGTAGAGCAACTCATAGCATCTTTTCAATAAGTTCGTTATCATAGATCTTAACAATAAGCCTCCTTCCCCTTTATGCTAATGAATTTGGAAGGGCCTAGCTGATGAATTAGATTCTTGTATTGAAACTAAGAATGCATCCAAGTACCTGGTATGTATCTTTTGATCTAAAATGTATCATAATGTTGGTGATTTGCCTTTAGAATATATTTTTTTTATAATTAATTTCATGAAAAGAATACCCATTTAGTGAACTAAAAACATAAAAGGGTAAATCGTTTTGGTGAAATTGAAACGTAAAAGCGTAAGCTTTTAAACTTTAAAATACAATTTAGTCCGATTTTATACATTAAAAAAATTTATATGAAAACAAAAGCTTTTTGGTGAATTACAACGTACAATTACAAGGTTTTAAATTTTAAAAGATGATTTTGATTGCATTGTAGACGATATGAGAATTTCATGAAAAGAGAAGGGATAGTGGCGATATAGTCTCTCCAATCTCCATCTCTGAAGCGTTATTCACTTTCCTAGTGTGCAGCCCCCACCACCCCTGATTATTATGAAATACCACTAGCTGTAGCCACCAAGTAGTAACAGTCCAATAAACAACCATAAATCAACCCCAACGAGATCCGGCCTTACAGCTCCTGGTTTTCTCCAAACATCTGGCTTTCCGCCTCTGTTTAACCCGTCATCCAACTTATATTTCCCTCGCCGATATTCTATAAAACCCATCCCTCTGGTCTTTCCTTCTCCAAACCAGAAAACACACAAAACCCAGATTTCAGTTCTCAATTTCATCACCACCCACAACGAAAAGTCTTTAACTTTAGGCATCACAAAAATCAATCCACCAAAGATTAAGATGAGCTCATCTAGCAGAGCATGGATGGCGGCGGTAGCAGTTGGAGCAGTAGAGGCGATGAAAGACCAAGGCCTCTGCCGATGGAATTACGCCATCAGATCAATCCACCAGCACGCCAAGAACAAGATTAGGTCCTCTTCAATTTCCCAACAACAACTTAAACCAAGACAGCTCTCTTCTACTTCTACATCGGCTTCTCAGGGCATTGGGGGAACCAGGAAAATGGTTGAGCAAGAGAAGGCGACGAGAGCAGAGGAGTCTCTTAAGACGGTTATGTACTTGAGCTGTTGGGGTCCTTACAATTAGATTACAAATTTAGACTTTAGTGCCCCAGAACTATTCAATGTGAGCGCTATGTAATATCGAATTTAACTTGTAAATGATGAGTTGATCTATTGATTATATGAGAGGGTTGACTATGAAATGTTGTGTTACAAGTTACAACTGATCAGATCATGATCCTCTTTTGAAATTCCACTGAATTTGTTTTGTTTACCTATATTATTTTCGGGCGGCTTTGTGATTTCTATAACTATGAGGGAAAAGGGTTTTGAGAAGTGGAAAGAAATAGAAGGCTCAAAGGATTGATAAAAGGAACTAAATTTATTTATAGGAAAGCAAACGTAGATAGTTTCTAGAAGGGTTAATATTTTTGTATGGTCTGAACTTTAACCAAAATAAATATATTGGCCAATCTTTTTCATTTATAACATCCTGGCTCAAACTACACATCAAAATAAACAATTTGGCCAGATCCGACTTTTGACCGTTAACTTGGACGGTCAAACGCATTGACTAACTGTCAACGCGTCATGTCACTGCCAACTCAGCAAATTTCAATTAATTTTTTTTACATCTATTTCCATTTTCTTTCCTTTATCATTTTGAACGAAAAAAAAAATAAAAAAAATTTTCAATTCAAAATGATAATTTGTTTTATTTTTTGTCCCGAAATTGAAAAGGAAAGAAACGATCATTTTTAAATTAAAAAAAAATTGTTTTAAAAAATGATAATAAAAAATTTTGCCCCGAAATTGAAAAAAAATTTCGTTCAAAATGATAAATGAAAGAAAATGGAAATAGGTGTAAATTAAAAAAATTAATTGAAATTTGCTGAGTTGGCAGTGACATAGCGCGTTGACTGTTAGTCAACGCGTTTGACCGTCCAAGTTAACGGTCAAAAGTCGGATCTGGCCAAATTGTTTATTTTGATGTATAGTTCGGGCCAAAATGTTATAGATCGAAAAGATTGGCCATAATGTTTATTTTGGTCAAAGTTTAGGCCATACAAAAATACTAACCCTTTCTGGAAATACAAAGAGACAGAATTACGAACTCAATCTACACAGTTTATGCTCAAAAGAAACACAATCTCTTCCCAAACAGAGTTTACCCAATACACTATAAACTAAGATATTGAAGAGATATAATGCACAAAATTACTCGTAGGAAGAAAACACAATCTTAACCTAAAAGAGGAAATCGCCAAGTCTTGACCAAGTGCTGCAAAGGGTAGAAACAGAGCAGCAGAGATGACCGTTGGATGGATATTGAGTAGCGAACAAGAAATATGATGGAGAGCTGTCGTTGGGTTTGCAGAAAGACTGCCTTGAAAGGAAAGGTGATAGCAACTCGTTTCCCTGAGTTAAGGGTTTTACTTGTAGCTCACAAACGAGAGAACGCTGTAGAGTGTCGAAGACTTTTTAGGTTTATTATTGATTGATTCCTCGGACTAATGTTGTGAATACAATATATAAGCGACTAAACTTAATACGTAACCCTAGCTACAACGATACCCTAGTTACTTCCTACATTAGCCGACTCGACCATGTATATGTTCGGCCCATGTGAGCCCATGCAACCTCTAACCCATTACTACTACGTAACCCATGACTAACCCATGAACTACATGCATAAACATTCTAATCCAAAATATAATTAACATAGCTAACCCAAAAAGCCCAAACTAATATCATCGAGCAACCCCTCCCACCGAATAGGCTCCCATCATTAAACGAGTTGCTATCATTCCTTCCCCCTTTGGATTCAACCTTGTCCCCAAGGTTGACATGATCGGTATCTACGTCGAGGCGTGGAGGCCGACGACGAAAGCAGTTGTAGCTCTTGCGACAGCTTGGGATGCATAGCCTCCGTAACTTCCAGTTCATGCTTCGACCTCTAATATTCTTCCTCGTAGTGGATGGAACTCTTGGCTTCTCAACTTGGTGATTGGCGGCCAGTACAATTAAGTTTCCTCCCTTGCGTGAACTGGGCCATGAAAGCGGAAGGGAGAGCCTCCCATTGTACACATCATCCTTTTCCCACAGCCTCGTTTGCTTGGTGCGCCAATTTGGATGGACAAGCGTCCGCGGTCACAAATCCATCACCGGTTCATCCAATTCCACACTACAGGAAAATTCACATTCAATCACGGGATTTCCCGTGACCAAACAGCCAATTCCGGTGGCCGAATCCATTGGTCACGGGCAAATACCCGTGGCAAGCGTGCCCGTGACTGAATGTCAACGATCACGGGAAACCCCGTTACCAAACAAATACTGTAACGGGATAAACCCCATGACAATTGGTCTATTCGGTCACAGGTTTTCCCGTGACTAAGTATTGAACACGGGAAGATTACCGTGACAAATGTAGCATATAGTCACAGGATATCCACTGACTAATCTAGGTTTCCGTAACGGGATTTTGTCCAATAGCCACGGGTATATTGTTACGGTGTGCAACATGATGCAACGGGTTTTGTCTCAACGGTCATGGGGAATCCCGTGATATGAGTTCATCAGTCACGGTAATAGCCTGTGACAGAAGGTTGCTACTAGTCAAGGGAAAGAACGATGATGAATACATGTAACTAGTCACAGGAAAATCCTGTTATTGTTAATAAACATTTACTCGCGGGAAAGTCTCGCAACTAGTCATATGCAATATGGAGATTGATATTAGCTAAAAGTAACCTGAAAGTCTTGTAATAGTTACGAGATGAAATTTCACTTGAAACAATGAAGAAGTCTTATCAACATATACTGTTCACCGGTCAATTTATAATTAAAAAATCTACTTTAGAAGCATTTTGGGCACATAAAACCTATCTAAATAATCACATCACAAAATACCCATGCTTCAACAAAATAAGCACTAGTAGTTTTTATCTTCATTCAAAAACAAAATTACCATTGCACTTGACAACGTGCAAGGTTGAACTACTCTTCTTGTGCTTCACCCTTCTTTCGTCCACACTCCTTGTACTGCACTTCTGGATTACGAAAAAAAGATTACAGAATTTAGTTCCATAAACAATACTACAAATGTATCAAAGTACCATTACCAATATCACATTCATACTTATAATTATACATAAAGGACTGAGTAGTGTTCTATAATTGAATTAGGAACTGTATAGTTATCCCACACTAGCAAACTTAAAGAGAGAGGTAAATATGCTTTAATAAACACCAACAGTTAGTTAAAGAGTGTTGTAAATAAACTACTTCTGCAAAAGCTATGAAGTCCACAATCTTAATGGGAGAACCAAACTAACAAATACAGTAAAAAAGCCACATCTCAAAGTGTTCTATGGTTACTTTCATAAGCATAATCTCTCTATGCAACAACAAAAACAGCAGCTTAATCGCAGCAAAAACCATACAAGCAGTACCACAAATAGAATTCAGTAGCAATTACAATCTATCTATTTGGTTCTAGGCTTCATTTATTTGACAGAAAAGAAGCTAATCAACTACTTCTACCAACACTAAGCAGCCTCCTATCTCAATAAGAGGAACAACCAAACAATTATAGTCAAAAGCCAGAAATCTAGTGTCTAAAGCTGCTTTCGTAAGCAGCATCCGTCTCCAAATAATAACGAAAGCAGTAGCTCAATCATAGTGAACACGATACAAGCAATATCAGAAACTGAATTTGGTTTTAGGATTCTTATACAATGACATACAAGAAGCACCTACTCATACCAATGCTAAGCACCCTACAAGCAACATATTTCCAAAAAACCAATAAAACAAATCAATCATAGTAAAAATCATAGGAGCAATCACAGAAACAGAATTCAACAGCAATTAGAGGTTGTGCATTTGGTTCTGGGCTTTTTTTATGACATACAAGAAGCAACATAAATAGAAAACCAAGTTGTATTCTAAGAGGCACAATTGTACGTACCTAGTGTTGTATATTTTGACTACTTGCGAACATCTCTTGCAACTTCTTTACTTCAGCCTTCAAACCAGTCAACTCTTCAGCTAGTTCTGAAACGGTATCTTTCAATTCAGTGATAGTTTGTTGAAGAGCTTCTTTTTCTTCATCTGACTATCTCAGTTGGGCTTCCAAGTTTGCATCCCCCACATACCTCGTGGAAGTTGTGCTCTTCAAATCCTTAGGCCTCAAGCCACCTCCAAAACAAATTACATGACCACGCTTTTGTTCTCCTAAAAGTGTTTCTACCACTTCAAGTGCAGTGAAGTCTGGATTGGCTTCGATTATCTCGGTCATTTTAGCCTGACAATAACACAAAACATCATAGTTAAAATAGGCAAACAAACTAAGTTTAAAAAATGTAAGAGGAGCTGTAAAAAAACCTACATGTCTTTCATTTGCTGCTTCATCTTTTATTATGTCTCCTTCCTTATAGGTCTCAAACACTAGCTCAGCTACAGTTGGAGGTCTGCCCAACTTCTCTTCCTACATTATAAGAACAATTCTTACACAAAGGCAGCACATATATGTTCAATGATGCAATTACAATATGGAAACAAACAGGTTGGCAACAGGTTGTCTCCCTCTCTTCCTACTATGTTTATAAACAAAGTTCAATCCATTTCAGTTGATTTTCGAACAATAAATTAATAGATATCTTAACTGAAAACAAAGTAATCTACGAAACAAATAAATCACTTTAGTTGGCAACATATTGTTTTTACTTCCTATGTTATAAACCAAGCCCAATCACTTCAGTTGCTTTCCTAACCGTCTTTACTTACAAGAAAAAGGAGAAAACCAAATAACACTTACCAAATCCAAAGCAATTTGTCGGACAGGCCTTCTCCCACTATGTTGATTCATGTTTTCATTGCTCTATTCTCTTCATTGGTCTTGCTTATCTTCTATATAAACAGAAAATGAATATAAAATGAAAATATCAAGTTATTGGGCTAAAACTAGTAGGAGAAAGTAGTTGATTATTATATATTTCACCTTAAATTCTTCAGAAAGGAACTTCTCCTTCACACACCACTCCCAATCCTCTTTACTTAGATATTCTGGAACATCATTGAGAATGTCTTCCAACTTTTCCCAAGTCTTCACATGACGACAGTTCATTTTAGATCTCCAAGTTCCCCACAAGCTGCGCATATGGTTGAGAACATCTTTCTTGAAGGATTCCATTTGAGGATGTGTAAAATATTCCTACAAAAAGTAATAACAATATTACTTAGCTTCTAGTTCTCCTAGACTTGATACATAAGAAAACAATGAAATAACTTATAAATAACGAGTACCTTAGCTGCTGCCCACATATGTTCTAACTGTTCATCACATATGTCATCCCATTCCTTTACTCTTACAGGACACATTTGTGAGTTTCGTACAATTGTGCCAAGATAGTTTGTCCAAACACTACCATTACGACCAGCCCCTCGTCTGTTTTTGAAGATGATTGTTAACTTCTCACCATAGTGTCTTTTTAAGTTTAGCTTTTAATTTTTAAGTTCAGAGCTTAAGTTTAGCTTTTAACTTCAACTTTTAATTTCAAAGTTAAAGATTTTAATGCACATGAAGAACCTTCCAAAAGAAACATATATCCGTACAGATATAGTTCGGAGAGTATAGATAATCAGTGGCTAGCCATAGAACAAATGGGTTTGTGTGAGAAAGCTTTGGCCCCTAGCGGGTTCCTTTAATTAGTATTAACTTGGCTTTTGTTTTGTTCCATACGTCAATTTGAAAGGAGAAATAACTCATTAGGGAGAAGAAATGATTACGGGAATCTCCTTGTTTCATTGTTCACTTTTCACCAAAACAAATTATGTTTAAGTTCAGCTTTTAACTTCATAAAAAGAGTGAAAAGGATTACACAGCTCAACTGTCATCATTCACAATTAAAGGGGGCAAGCTGCTCAAGTGTATCATTCACAGTTAAAGTGTCATCATTAAGCAAAAATGATGTTTTAGAAGGCATAAATGTAGTCGAAGAAGAACTAACATGTGGCAGATGGTGCTTGTAGCTGTTGAGTTAAAGAGTAAGTGGCACCGATTCTGTTGTCCCCAATAGTGATACTAGTAGTTGGAGTTTGATTTTACACTACTGCAACTTGGTTCCCGCTCACGCGTACCTGATATAATAGATCTGGGTTAAGCGTATAAATTGAAAACAAAACTAGAACTGAAAGTAAAAGAGGTAGGTTGTAGGAGTAAGAGTATGTATATGGACTAAGAAGGAAGTAAACAACAATTTAGGAAACCAGGGGAGGAGTACTCTAACTTAAGATGTTTAGAGTATTCTTTATAGTAATAGAAACATCTACCTACATAACTCAACGATGCTAAAAGAATTTCCAAATCTCAGTCAATGCGCACAAGTACAATCTCTAGGGGAGAAGCTATCAATGACTAGTATATAATTCTAATCAAACTTTCTATAAGAGAATCCCAACAGAAACTATCAATGTTGCTGCAAGCTGCAAAAGCAACGGGAATCCAATCCGAATAGGCAAAGGCTTCCCCAGTAAAGAAGTGAAAATGAGTATGAACCTTGAATTAAGTTGTTGAACCCTCATTTGTCATCGTTAACCTATCCATGAGTTCCTATTCTACTGCTAGATACCAATCCCTAACAACCAAAAAACATAAGTAACAGATTAATAGTAGCAACATATACTAAGAGCTTCGACCATGTTATATTTTGATAAAAGTCAGGTAACATACCTTAGGTGTGAAGACGAGAAGTTTGGTAGCAATGGCGAGGAGCTGGACTATAATGAGCGAACCAAAACCAAATAGAAGGATGAAGGCGATGGCGAGGAGATGGATTTTTTCAGCCGGCTCAAAATGAAACCCAAAGCAGGGGATAGAACTAATTGAAAGGAAGGAAGAGTCAGCAACGATCTCATTGACGGAGATCTAGACATACTCCGCTGGCCTTGCTCACTGGAATTACTAAAGAGTTTTAGGTTAGCCATTAAAATTAGTTTATTCCATTCATGATCACTAAAATTAGTTTAACAGTTCAAGTTTGGTCACTCTCTGTTAGTCTCCGTTAATTTTCGCTGATGTGGCAGTCAACTCAAATAATTAATCGTTAAATAAGTGACGTGACAATTAAAAAATAATGAAATTTAATCACTTACCATTTCCACCTCACTATAAAAATAAATTAAATAAAACTAAAAATAATTATAATCTATCATCCTCCGCTCCGTCCCTTACCTCCGCTGCCAGCTCCACATCCTCGCTTATTCTCCGGTCCTAGACCTGATCACAACATCTATCGGGCAGGCGCTCGACTCCCCGACCTCACCGCGAAACCTCTGGTTGGGAAGCCACTCACCGCCCTATGTAGTTGTCCCCGCCAGATAGGGCCGAATAAACTGGAGACCACATAGAAGATTCAAGGTGGGAAAGAAACAAAATTTCTCTGAGTCATCGATCGACACCCAAAGCAAAAAAGAGGAAAAATAATTAACTGTTACGAAAAATTGCACGGGCAAGAACTCCATCTCCGATAACCATACAAGTTCCAATCAAATCTAGGCCGAACAGAGCTTTTTGTAGAAGCTTACTCTTCTACAGAGCAGATTTCAAGCTGGACGCCTGGACCCAGTTCGATTCTGGGGATTTGCAGCCGACCCATCTTTCTTATACTCGGTGACACGCCAAAACACAACACCAAACTGCGACCAAGTGTAATCGCAGTCCGGGAATGCAGTAAAGTGGCAAGTTCTATTATCAACCCGGGGTCTAAATCTACTGCTTACTCCGTGATTATCTATTATCTAGCCAACTAAGTTAAGTGATTGTTGTTTTAAGCAAAAGCAGTAAGAAAGCAGGAATTGGTTCGGTTTTCTCAAGCAAAGAAGAGTCACTCGGGAATGAGTCCCCCTAGCTCCTTAGTTAGGTCTCAATTGTAATTACCCTGGGTTGATTTACTGTTGATTAGACTGCGGAAGATCCGACAGTAGCTTGGAATCTCTTAAGCTGACCAAGCCCTCGCAGTCTAACTACCCGGCAGACGACTAGTCTTCACCGGGATAGAAAGCTGAAGCAATAAGCACAGAACTCCACTACTGGAATTGGATTCCAGTACAAAGCAGTAAACTGGCTAACTCTCGTATAGCCAATCTCCTACTAACGAATGATGAGGCTCTAACAACCTAATCAGATTCTATCTATCTCAGGTTGCAGCAGAAATCAAGAAAAGCTTATCAGACTTCAATCAATTCAATAAAACATGCATCATTCGATTAAAACCAAACAGTATAATCATCCCAAGTCATTACAATCAAATCCCTAACACATGGAACTAGGGTTCTTCATACCCAAGTGAGAGAAGGGTTATACTCCATAGAGAGAGAGAGGAAAACAGATAACAAAGCAATCATACTCATAACAATAGGAAGAATCTGCTCTGGGATGATGATTTCCACTCCTATGACGATCTCCAAGCTCGATTTGATGAAACCCAGCTCCAAGATGGCTTCTAGGATGTGTTCTTCGTACTTTCTCTCTCTAGGGCTCTGTTTTTGCTCTGAAAACTCGATTTTCTCACTTGTGGCCCGAAATTGGGTAAAAACCTGAAAATCCCGATCACACGGGCAGGCCACACGGCCGTGTGGCATACCCAGTTGCCCGTGTGAGACACAAAACGCGGCGTTTCCAATAATTGCACTTCAGGCTGCCTACACAGCCAGGGACACACGACCGTGTGGCTCACCCAGTCTGCCCGTGTGAAGGCTCGCACAATCCCACACGGCCACATTGGTTACTTGCACGGCCGTGTGGGTTTTGGGTGTGCCCGTGTGGCTTCCTCAGCAACTTGCCTCGCGCCCGATCTTCGTCCAATCGACCCCGAACTCGCTCCCAAACCTTCATTCACATACTAGGACCTGAAATATCACAAACAAGCACAACCTAGCGTGAAATCGGCCTAAAACACGAGAATCAACACCTCAAACGGCTACAAAATAGGGGTAAAAACATGTGCAATTAACGGTTTATCAAACTCCCCCACACTTAACCGTTTGCTTGTCCCCAAGCAAACCAAGTCAGACACAAGGTAAGCTTACAAATTTCAACCATACCAACATTGGGGACAAATCATATAGGCACAGAAACACGTGAATCATACTCGCTTTCAAATTTCAACACATGAACAACTTCAATAGCAACCTGGACAACCACCACAGAAGACATTCGAGTGCAGCAAAATCGAGTAAAGGAGGAGTCTCCCTTCTGTTCATCAACCAACATAGACTTGACTCAACCACTTACTCAAGACAGTCAACTCATGCATAAAACTCAAGACATCAGAATCAAGACCGAGCCATCTAGGTCCTCACCGGGTTAAGAGTGTAAAGAACAAGGAAATGAATCGCTCACTCTCGACCAGTGGGGTCAGGACAAATTGATGCGAAAAATGCGCATACTTATTCTCTCAATTCCTAACATCTCTTCACCATGACGGCAGCCTCTAAATGTTAGAGTTTACAAAAATGGGTGTTATCACTAACTAATTCGGAGGTCTTAGACACAGGTTCAAGTGACTGGCTATGGTCTTGGACATGGGGAAAAGGCCTTTTAGGTGGTGGAAGTATTCATAGCACAAGGTTCCACAATTCCAAGCCCAACAAACTCACAGTCAATCAAACCAGTACTTTCTTTCTGCTATTCTGCATTACTCAAATTCTCTAGAGCACAAGAGCGAAGGAGGTCACATAAATGCTAGTATTTCTAAGCCAGACTGCTAAGAAACACTACTTAATGGGCACTATTCAGATTTTCGGTGGTGGCTCTCTTTTGCTTTCATTTTTTCTTTGTTTTTCTTTCATTTTTTCCATTTCTTAAGAGAACCACCACCTCTGCACATTTTTCAAACACATGATCAACTTTTTAAGAACTACCTCCAACTCTCACATTACATTTAGCAGAAACAGCAGAGAACATGCAAAAATCACTCTGTGGAACCTTCTAAAAGATGCAAAAGGGTGATTTTTCATTGCAGACCAAAAGAAAGGATAACACACGGCTCAAAGGGGCTGACTAGGGGGTATGACACACTAGGACAGTCAATTTGGTCGTGGGCTAATCCTATGCCTCCATCATCTTAGCTAATAACAACGTGAATGCTACAAATCATGGAAGAGGGAACTATCGCACAAGAAAGAAATGAGCAAGCTCAAATCTCACATGGCTACCTATATGCTCTATCTCTCATTCTGATTCCCTAAACTAGATGCATAAGAGACTGTCAAGAAAAAGTGATCCATCCAAGTCACAGTTGGTAAGCAAATAGTTGAAAAACCAAACCCCTACACAATTCTACTGCACATCTCAGTCATCATAATAGGTTGTCCTAGTCACCATCCAGTTGTCATGCATCAATCCGAAAACCATTCGATTCACCAATCCAAACACAGTGCCAATATGATCAAACAACCGTACTTGGAGCCCTCAAATCTTGAGATTTGGACAGCGGACTAGGCTCCAAGCACACGTATATAAATTCCAACCGATACAAAGCACCCCCCCCCACACTTAAGCACGACATTGCCCTCAATGGAGCAGAGGGAGAGATAAGGGGAACGATGTTACCGGATTGAAAAACTGCAGAAGACTGGAAGTGGACCAGTCAGCGGGGACATATGGAACGAACGGGCATTTCTGCACTAAAGGGACATCAAGAACACACTAGCACATGTTCGTTAGGGATTAGAGTTGGCCCAGATGGCCACAAAATAACAATCCACAAAAGAAAGAAAAAAGGACAAAAACAACCAACAAACTCAGTTCAAGCTCCTAAAACACATGGAGCAAACATAAAAAGTTTAAAACAAAAACACACACTGAGGGGCGACAAGTACAGCCTACTCGTTGCCAAGGTTTTCCAGATCGATGTCATTCATGAATGCATCATCATCATCAGCTGGTGGAGGTGGAAGTGGAGAGTCCTCCCAGGGAGTCCTCCAGACTGGCTGCTCGCCTGGTAGTGACTCACTTCTACTGTCACTCTATGAATTGGCCAAGTGTAACCCCTTCCTAAAGCGTAGTATAGCGGGTTTGGGTTTAATTATCAACCCGGGTCCTAGATTTGATGACTACTCAGTGAATTCTTGTTATCTAGCAATGAAACTTTAATGCAAATCTAAACTAACAAACTAACAAAGCAAGTAAATAGTTGTATT